CCACTGAGCCACAGCCTCAGCCATCAGTGGGCTTATGTTAAAACCTAGTTTTCCCTAAGGCTGACCTTGCGCAAGGTAGATCACCTCCTCTGAATAAGGGAAAGAGGACCTAAAGGTAACTCTTTCTAGACCTTTCTCCCGCTCTCTGAAGTTAGATGAATTGGTATTCAAAAATCTCAAAGGAGGTTTGTGGGTGTGATTCAGTGTCAGAGGACTTGGCTCTCATGCTTATGGCCCTGCTGTCAAGCCTAGCACCACAAAAGCAAAATACCTACATAATACAACCAAAAATCTCCAAGGGCACAATACCCGGTTCACCAATTGTCTTGCTTGTGTTGGGTTCTGGCCCTTTGTTTGGAGACTGTCCTAGGCACTGGGAAGACAGAGATGCTAACAGGCATAGTCAGCCAGGAAGCCCACAGTCTTGGGAGGGAGAGGAGCTTTTGCAGCTGCCTGCCCAGGCTCTTGATGACAGGTTTGGAAGGAAAGGTAGAGAAGGTTATGAAAGAATCCACAGGGCTCTGAACATAGCTCCGAAGGAGGTTGCAGAGTTGGGCCACCTGGAGGGTGAACTGCAAAGCTTTCATCCATAATTGCCACACTTGGATGTGTGGAGCTAGCGTACAGGTATTTTTCTTTGCATTGTGTAGGTAAATATAGTGGCTTGGAGTCTTTAAAACACCATATTAAGATCTATTCTCATTCTTCATGGGAACCCACTTTTGTAGGGCTTTTCTGTAGGAGCTCTGCTCTAAGCTGGGGAGGCCCTGTGGACAGAAAGGGAATGGGGTGGCCCCCACATCAAGACTCCTCTGTGTTCTGTGGGTACCCACCTGCACACTGAATGTGCTACATGAACATGCTCTTCAGAGGAGCCTTGGGAGTTAATTAGAACCTCCAAAGAGACCTCTCACATCCAGGTTGAATTGAAAGAAAGAAGTTTTCCTTTTGGGGTGCATAGAGCTGTCAGAACAACAGGGGCAGGAGGGTGGAGGGCAGATGCTATTTGAGGGGCATAGAGGGGGGCCTGACTTGAACCTCGAGTTCCCATGGGAGGCACTGTCTTGACGGAACAGCCAAAGGAGGGCTGAAAGGTCTTGGCTCCTTGCCATCTTGCTTTCTGATTCTGGTTTTCCTTCTCGCTTGTCCATGACTTTTCCTGGGGTCAGGGAACGTGCATTCAGAAGGGTACAATGGAGGCGGTATTCCCTTGCCACCGCCATGGGCACTTCCACCTGGCATGCCCACGTTGAAAAGGACCTTTTCTGTCTCTGCACCCTGCAGTCTCACAGGGCAGACCTTCCTCTTGAGTATGTTTTTATCAATTACCCAGAAGTGGTGTGGGTCTATCACGCTGCTAGGATAAGGAGGCTCCGGGGTCAACAGTGCTGTGACTTGTGGTGGCTTCAAAGTGGACCCTATGCACAGGAAGACCGTGTTATTGACACTCACCTGCTGCCAGCCTGGTCAGTCCTGTGTTCTGGTGATGCCTTTGTCCCTGTACAGGAACATCTGGGAAGACTGAGCCACAGTGGTCACGCAGTACTTTGTGCTGTGTTTTGGTCCCATTGAATTCAGATGTCATTATCCCCCTCTTGTACATGAGGGGACTGAGCCCCAGCAGTGGTAGATGTTGGGGACATCCTGACATCCAGGTCTTTGTGCGGTTCCTCTGCATATCATTATGGTATGTTTTAGTCAGCTGTTTTGCTGCTGTGAATAAAAGACCTGACCAGAACAATTTTAAGGAAGAAGAGTTTACTCGAGGGCTCACAGTTTCAGAGGTCTCAGTCCCTGTGAGGCTGGCTGCATTCCTCGGGGCTCCAGGGGAGGCTGACCATCATGGTGGAAGAGTGTGGCCAAGGGAAGCAGCTCACGTGGTGGTCAGAGAGCAGAGAGAGAGAGACTCCACTGCCAGGTACAAATCTATACCCCAAAGCCCACCTCCTCCAGCCACACCTTCAGTTGCCACCCAGTTAATCCCTATCAGGGGATTAATTCACTAATTGGGTTAAGACCCTCACAACCCAATCATTTCTCCTCTGAACCTTCTTGCTTTGTCTCACATGTGAGCTTCTGGGGGACACCTCACATCCAAACCATAATACGTTATTTGAAGACATTTGGAACAGGAAACATGAGCAGGTACTGAAACTTCCCCGGTGAGGTGAACCCCATTTACTGTCTTTCGTTTGTGGGTGGCTTTTGCTTCTGTGAATCTGCCGGCCACCGTGGCATCTGTTGGTGACACAGCCTGCTTGAAGAGGATGGAAGGATCCACATAGGGCACACTGGGCCCCCTCGACCTCCCCTGTCCCCTACCTGCTCCCGAGCCCTCTGCCCTGTGTGACTTTATCACAGCCATGTCATTCAACTCAGGGAGAAGCAAGTCTGTAGTGCTCTAGGCTTATGGGATGGAAATGGGGTACTCTCCACATACTCAGCCAGGGAGGGCCATGCACACCTGTCACACACGCCTGCACATCACCACTACCTTCCCAATATCAGCTGTTTTATTTGCCAGAGGTGACTGGACATTTTGCAGATGTCATCATGGTTTCTCCCGAGTTACCCTTTCCCAGTTAGTTGACACATCATGACAGACTCAAACCCCTTCCCTCAGACTGAGATACCCTGTCAGACCCAGTGGATGGTCTCCCAGGGCCTCCCTCAACCCCTCTATTCTGACCTGACCCTGGACAGGGCTACTTGGCAAGAAGAGCCGTTTCAGTGGGAGATTCTTCCCTTGGATTTCCCTGCTTCTCTTGAGCTCCTCTGGAGACACTCAGGACTCTCTCCTTACTAGGGCAGCACCTGCAGAAGCTGGGTCTCATCTGTTGCTGTGCACCTGCCTGTGCTGGGGACATAGTCAACATGAGCCTTCCGGTTGTCTTCTTCACTACCTTGGCCAGGTTAATAAACTATCTACCTTGGTGTATGTTCTCATCTCCAGAGTGTGAACCCTCAAAGCCCTCGGGGATCTAATGAGATGATTCAGATAGTAATGTTGCATGCTCAATAAGTCATTTGCATAAATCAGTTGTCATTGTGGTTAACTCCAAATTTAAGCAGCGGAAGGCTCTTGCACTTTTGCTTTCTAGCTCAGTGGCAACCTTGGCAGATGGTACCCAGGGTCGTAGCTGGTGACTCTTAACCAACCCCCACCGTCTTCACTCTCCTTCCTGCTCCTGTGGTTTCCTTCTCCATCATCTTCTGCTCTGAATGCCCCGATAGCCACCCACTCCTCCAACAAACAGTATCACCGAGCAGCAGGACACTTGGACATCAGGCGGCTGCTTACTGACTCTGACATCTTGGGAGCTACGGTCTTTGTGTCAGGTCACAACTGTGACCCTTATAATGATGCTGCTGTTTGCACTCTCTGTCATTTTGATAATGAACATGGTGAAAACAAGGCTCTTCTTTAAAGCCTAAAAACAGTGGTCAAGGATTTGAAAAAGGACTATTTCTGTTCCACCCTCATTTTATACATAATGAGAGCATGATCATGAGTCAGATGGTGAGGTTCCAAGAGAGCTTCTGGCAGAGCTGACACAATACCAGGCGTTTTTATGAAGCCAGATCGTATGAAAATTGAGAACCGAAGCTGGTGAAGCTTTTTTCAGCTTTTAAGGAATTGTCTAGGAGGGAGAGCACCATGGTTTGACATTGACATTAAAGGAGACCTAAGTGTTAGCACCAACTCTGGTGCGCAGGCTCGTGCGTCTGTTTCCTTTCCTCTACTAAGTATTTTCTTTGTATTTCCTCTCATCCTTCTACATTTTGTTCCATGTTCAAGTTGTAGGTGTGAACTGGTTAAGTACCTGAACCTCTTGTTTTAAGTGTGATGATCCAGTCTTTCCTGGTTAGAAATAGGTGTCCAGATAAATGACGAGACAGTACTTGGAGGGACAGTGCACTGTCTCAAGGTCAGCCATGGGAGGCAAGCCCAGTAGCTCAGTACTCTGCAGCAGGAATATGGTCTGGTAACTGTTGGTTTGATTTCCATGAAGAGTCAGAGGGTTTTTTTATTATTATATTTTAGGAAGATGCCAAATCCATATGGATGAAATGATAATAATGTCTGGTGTGATTTGCTTCAAAACAATCTCATGAGAGGGGATGCTGGGGTAAAAATGAAGCAGGGGTTGGCCCTCTGTTAACTTCATCATCTGTATGCAGCCATGAAAATAACCCTTATCAAGAATTTTTAAGATGATATAAGTAAGAAAATCAGGAAGTCCAACGTCCTAGTGTGTGCACGTACATAAAATATTTGTGTGAAAATAAACATTGGAGGGAGATTAAAACATTAATTGTGGTTATCCTTGGTTGGTGGGATTATGTGTGATCTCCATTCTGTTTTCCAGACTTCTTACAGGAAACGTGAAGAAAAACATAACTTCTCAAAATGGGAGAAAAAACACTTTGTATTTTATTTTATTGGTTGTTCAAAACATTACAAAGCTCTTGACATATCATATTTCATACATTTGATTCAAGTGGGTTATGAACTCCCATTTTTACGCCGTATACAGATTGCAGAATCACATCGGTTACACATCCACGTTTTTACATATTGCCATACTAGTGACTGTTGTATTCTGCTATCTTTCCTATCCTCTACTATCCCCCCTCCCCTCCCCTCCCATCTTCTATCTCTACCCCATCTACTGTAATTCATTTCTCTCCCTTGATTTTGGAAAAACACTTTTTAAAGAAAGGATCTTAACCTGTATTGTGTGAATGAGTGACGCGTTTGTTTCAGTTATGTTTTCCATTAAACTGCTCAGGTCAGCAATTAGAGACACGCTTATGTGGTGACTTATCTCGTGGCTGTGAGTGTGTTTGGGGCCTGCACAGCCCTCTGCCCTGTGCGCTGTCGTTGCAGGGGTGTGTACAGGCAAGGCCATGGGCAAGAGCAATCACCACTCCCTTTACGTTCATTGGTAACTTCTGCTCGGTATGTTCCTTTAACACAAATTTCTGTCTGATTTCAGTGAGCTGGACATGATTTCCACGAGGGTCATGGACATCAAGCTTCGGGAGTCTGCAGAAGGCCTCGGGGAGGACAGCACAGGTAAGGCCCTGGCTTCCCCTGGGAAGGGCCCTTGCTTGGTGCTGGGGCAAGGGAGGAGCCGATTGAAGACGGGGCTGTGTGTGAGAGAGAGCGGCCAGTCCCCCGTGTGCTCAGACATCCTTTGGTCCCCACACTGACTAGGAGCACGTCCACATTATCTGAGGAAACTTGGAGCAGTGCTCCCTTGTGTCTCTGTCAAACATAGGGGCTTTTCATGTCATTTTCTTCTTCCTGGAAGTGAATATGTCCCCATGTTTGACTTAAAAGCAAAAGAAAGGGGCCCAAAGGGAATTATTTGTCACCTAAAATTATCTAAAGGTATCTGTAGGAGCCTTTGCAAAGCACGGGATGGCCTCATCATCCAGCAAAAATAATCTCATCAAAAGAAAGCCTTTGATCCCTCTCTTGTGATTTTTATTCTCCTCCAGGATGTGTTTATTATGGCCTTTCCTGAGCTAAATTCCAGGCCCATGATTCATCATCTCAGAGCACCTTCCAAGAGTTATTCAATTAGGTGATTGGCTCACTGCTATCCACATATTGCTATTTATGTCTTGATGGAGTTGTAAAATTGACATTAAGAAACAAAGATCTCCCCACAATGTACCTTTACCTGGTAACTCTCTGTGTTCCCCTTATCTCATTAACAAAGGCCTCCAGCTGTCTGTCCTTCAAAGTCAAGATGCCAGTAGTGATTTTCTTTGATATAGTTCAGGAAGAATGGCTTCCAATAATAGGAAATCCTATCAGCTAGAGCTTACTATCTCATATGTTATGTGATACATAGATACTTCGTATTCTATATTAGAACCATTCTTCTCTGTCACATTTTAATAGATACCAAATAAACCCAAATATAAGGTGAGTTTTTAAGATTATCCCTGAGGGAAAAAAATGGAGTTTTAAATTTTCTCATATTATGGGGCATTGAATTAGTCCTTATTTTCAATAATAGCATTTGAATAAGTATCATTAATACCATAAGTAACATGTCATTATCCTGAAACTTATCAATAAATGTTAGTATTGAATACTTACAGAGGTCACCATGAAGAATCAATTTCACAAAAGAAGGAGAGAAACTAAGTATTCTTTTATTTTCAAATAGTGATGAGCTTGAGGCCAGGGTTGTGGTTCAGTGGTACAGCACTTGCTTAGCATGCATGAGGCACCATAGAAAAATAAATAATAAAGGTATTGTGACCACCTACAACTAAAAAATATTAAAATAATAATAATAATGAGCTTAAGGTAGTAAGAACATTCCTTTCCACCCGTAATTTAAAAATATAGGGCTGGGGATATAGCTCAGTTGGTAGAGTGCTTGCCTCACATGCACAAAGCTCTGGGTTCAATCCCCAGCACCACATACACATACACAAAAAAATTTTTAAATGTAGATAAGAACATTATTCATGTTGTTTTTAAAAGTAAGAAATAATGAGGCCAGAATTAAAAGAAAAATGGTAACCCAGAAAGATAATTGAGCACTTTTTCCCTCAGAACTTATTAATCAGTCTTGGAAATTTTGAATTTCATTATCCTGCCTACATAGGGTGGGATATAAGAGAGGGGGTCAGAAGACAAAGTGCAGCCCCCATACAAGGTGGACCCTCTAATAGAAGACCATCCTTACAATAAGCTGGGAACCCAAGGAGCACAAAATCTGTGAACCATGGATAAACCAACCCTTTTGTGGATTTGAAGCTTGAGTTTGTATCACTCTGCTTTTGAACTTGGTTAATGGTACTCCTAGACCAGGAAGAAACCCGGGTGCTTTGCAGAAGCAATCTTCAGTAAAGGGAAGTGTCTTCTGTCTAGGCTTCAAATTATAACAGAACATAATACTTTCAGTACTAGGACAAGCATATAGTTAGTGATGACCAGGTGTATAGGCAACAGGGAACCATGAACAAGAACCAACATGCTGTGGGTTGAATCCGGCCTCCTAGAATCAACATGCTGAAGTGCCCAGTATGTAACCTTATTAGGTATTTAGTTAAGATGTGGTCATCCTGAAACAGGGTGGTTTCCTAATTCAGTATGAATAATGTCCATATAAAAAGGGGAAATTTGAACACAGACATGTACATGGTGAGAGTGTAATGTGCACATGAAGGCAAAGATTGGGTGATGCATCTACAAGCTAACGAACACCAAAGATCGCCAGCATACTACTAGAAATTAATTAACAGAAGTGGTGCAGATGTGCCATCACAGCCCTCAGAAGGAACCAAACATGCCAGTTCCACCTTGATTTTGGCTTTTCATCTCCAGAACCATGAGACAATTTGTTTCTGTTAACTCACCCAGTTTGTGGTACTTTGTACAGCAACCTTAGCAAACTAATACATAGCATAAACAAGAAAACTAATATGATAAAGGCATCAGATGTCAGAACTTTCAAATACATACTATAAAACATGATGTGAAAGTTTTGAAAATATCTGGAAGATCCAGGAAACCATAAAAACTAACATGGCACCCAGCCAGTGCAATAAGGCAAGAAAAATGAATTAAAGGCATTGAGATAGAAAGAAGAGATAAAACTGCATTTGCAGATGACCTGATTATCTAAAATATACAAAGTATCCAGAACTGTTAAGTTTAGCATGTTCATAAAATATTAAATCATAATATAAAAAATCAGTTATATTTCTATATACCAGCAATGAACATTTGAAAAATTGAAATCTTGAAAAGTACCATATGTAATAGCATCAAAAATTTAAAATACTTAGGTATATATGTAACTAAAATATATGCAGGATTTGTATACTGAAAGATACAAATAATTGTTTAAAGAAAGTAAAAAGACCTAAATACATGGAGAGATATACCATGTTTATGGATTGAAAGACTCCATGTTGCTAAAATGTTAATTCTCACCAAATTGAGCTGCAAATGGTGTGTTAGTACATGTAGGTATAGTGCAGTTTTCAAGTCAGCTATGAAAGTCAGGGATACAGTTAGTTTGATACTTTGTTGTAGGAATATCAATCAGTAACTTTTTTCTTTTTATTTTTTGTTTTATTTTTCAGTTGTGAGAATCAAACCTAGGGCGTTGGGTATACTAGGTACGTACTGTACTACTGAGATATAACCCCACACTGTAATAGTGTAATCATTTTTTTATTTCCATGAAGGTTCAGATTTTTTTTTTTTTTAGGAAGAAGCCAACTCTATAGGATTGAAATGAAAATAGTGTGTGAGATGTTTTGCTTTGAAATAACCTACAGGTAGTGGGGAGGAAATGGGTAAATATGAAGCAATCAAAATCCCAGCAGGATTTCTAGGAGTTACTGGCAAGCTGACTCTAAAATTTATACGAAAAGAGAAAGAACTTCAACAGGTAAAACAGTTTTGAAAAACAGAAAGTTGGAGGACTCACCACAGTACTTGATTTCAAACTTACTATAAAGCTAATAATCAAGCAGAAAGATAGATGTATGGAAATAGATAGAACAAAGTAGAGTCCAAAAATAGATCCATATGAAAATGATCAGTTGATTTTTGAGAAAGTTGCAAAGGTGATTCACTAAATAGTGCTAGAACAACTGGACACCCATTTGTAAAAATGAGCATTGATTGATACCTCACAGATTATGAAAAAGTTAATAGATCCTAGACATAAATGTAAAACTATAAAGTCTTTAAAAGAAAGCTTAAGAGAGAATATTTTTGACCTTAGATTAGGGAAGAGTTCCAAGATATGATGCCTCAGTCCATAAAAGGAAAAAAATCAATAAGTGGAACTTCATCAAAATTGACACTTTTGCTCTGAGAAAGATACTGTTAAGATAAAAATACAAATCAGACTGGGAGAAAATATTTGTAAATCTCACTTGATGAAATATTTACATCCGGCATATATTTGAAATCATCAACATTCATTTTTTTTACTGTTTTTAAAATAAATTTATTTATTTATTTTAATTAGGTATATATGACAGCAGAATGCATTTTGATTCATTGTACACAATTGCAGCACAGCTTTTCATTTCTCTGATTGTACAACGATGTAGCGTCGCACTCTATGTGCAGTCATACATGTACCTAGGGTAATGATGTCCATCACATTCCACCATCTTTTCTGCTCCCATCCCCACTCCCCTCCTCTCCCTCCCCTTTTCCCCATCAAAGTTCCTCCATTTTTTTCCCATACCTCCCCCCATTATGGATCAGCATCCACTTATCAGAGAGAACATTCAAAAACAATAAAACAAACCTATTTACAAAATGGGCAGCTCTTAAAAGATGTTTGTATCTAAGAAGAAACACTCAACATCTAGTCATTAGGTAATACAAATCAAAACAGCAACGAAACACGCTATACAACTATTAGAACATCTTGAAAGAAATCCTGTGAGCAGCGCTGGTGAGGAGGCATTGCTGGTAGGAATGTAAGATGGTACAGCCGATCTGGAAAAGATTTTTGACAAATTTCATATAAAGTACATACACTTAGCCTATGACTCAGTAATCCCACTCCCTCATATTTACCAAACAGCAGTGAAAACATGGTTACCCAGAAGCCAGTAGCAAGATTATTCAAAATTGCTAAAAACTGAAAAGAATTCAAGTGTCCTTCAGTGGTTGGATGGTTCAACAAACAGTGTATCCATCCAATGGAATACCACTCAGCAGTGAAGAGGAACAAACTATGGGAAGACATGTAAATATTGCATGAATCTCTAAGTGAAAGAAGCCAGAATCAAAAGGCCACATACTGTCTGACTCACTCTGTTCTGGTTTAGATACGAGGTGTCCCCCAAAAGCTCTATTTTGTCCTTGCTGAGTGGGACTCTCTCTCTGCTTCCTGGTGTGATGTCTTGAGCTGCTTTCTTCCACCACACTCTTCTGCCATGATGTCACTTGAGCCCTGAGGAAAAGGAACTGAGGAACTGTGTGTGGACTGAGGCCTCCAAAACCGTGAGCCCCCAGATAAACTTTTCCTCCACTGAAATGGTTCTTGTCAGGTGTTTGGTCACAGCAGCAGA